TTAAAATTAATAATATTACTATTATAATTTTCTAATTAATTAACTTCGTTATTACTTATATAATTAAGATTTATTAAATTTATAATTCGAGATTATATTTCATCTAATATCATTTAAAATATAAAAGATTCGTTATTATTTTTACTTTATTACGACTATAATCGAGTAGTAACTATTATACTAATTCTAGATTACTATCTTTTAAAGAATAAAAGAATTAAAATTATTAAATAGACTTATATAATTAAATATAAGTAGATCTAGAGTTATATAATAATATAGATTTAGTAATAAATATATATATATTTATATATATTAATTTTATAATAAGATTAATTCTTATAAAAGTAAGAAGGAAAATAGAGGTATCGCTTTCTTAAGCTTTTATGCTAAGTCTATATACGTTAAGAGTCTTAATTATACTACGGCTTCGCTCAATAACTAAGTCTCCTTTAGAAACCTTAGCTAATATTAGATTTATAATAAGAAATTATTTATAATTATTCGCTATCTAGAATATTAGCGTCTTAAATTAAAATATATAAATATTCTTATTAGAATCTTTATCGATTATAAAGAACTAATATATTTTATTAAAAAAAGAAATCTTAGTTAACGCTAGACTCGATATTTAGATATATTATTAGAATTTAATATAAAGATTATTTATCGATCTAAACTTTAGAATGTTAAGATTAATATACTTATACGAATAACTAGATATAAATTAATCGATTCTAAAAACAAATAATTACGCTAATAATATTAAATAATTCTTATCTCTAATCGATTAAAATTGAATAGCGAATATATCGATATATATATAATTAATAACTTTATTTACTATAAAGTAGTAGAAATTAATAAGAAAGATAAATATTATACGAAAATCTATGAGACTATCACTAAAAATAAGAATAAGTTTTAGAGGATTACTCTTAGTAAATGCTTTATATAAGACGAAGTATTTTATTATAAGAATTATTTATAAATATTCGATAATATATATATTAATATTATTCGAGAGATATATAATTAATTATTCTACGGCTATTTCGAGATAGTATATATTTATAAACTATTTAAGAGAGAATATTATTAATAAGATATAAGGATTATTATAGTTAATTACGTTAGAAATTATTATATTTATTAGAGAGTTAAAGCGTCTTATAATTAAGAGTATAATTTATTATAGTCTTTATTAATCTTATAGAAATAATAATAAGATATATTAATCGACTTTATTATAGACTTATCTATATCTAATAACTATAACGCTATTTAAATAGCGATTAATTAACTTACTAAGAAACGTTATTATATAATCTATTTCGATATTAATAAAGATATTATCGCTAAGAAAATAGTTAACTTATTACTTAAAGAAGTATTTCGTTTATATAGTCTATCGATCTTAATAATATTAAATCGAGGCTTTTAATTTATAGCTATTATATAGAAATTCTTTTATAAATAATTAGATATTATAGTTAAGCTATTAATAGTCTTTTATTCTAAAATTAATAAATAGATTAAACGAGTAAATTAGAATATAAAGCGTTATCTTTAAATATATTATAACTATATATAGAACGACTAGATAAAATAATTATTTATTATCGAGTTTATTAATAATAATACTATCTTAGCGATTATTAATATCTCATCTTTTCTCGTAAATAAGAAATTTTATTCTCGAATGAATTTTAGCTCGAATATTATTAATTATAAGATTATTTATAAGCGTCTTAATATTACTTAGATAGAGAATATTATAAATTATATAAAATAAGTTCTTAAGTATATTCGAAGTAATATGAATCGCGCTTAGAAGGCTATAATTACGTAAGCTAATAAGTATTAATAAAAGGTTACTTTTTAAATAGACGATGCGATCTTTTTAAATAGTAAGAATATTATCTTTAATCGCCCTTTTCGTAAATTAAATTATAAGAGACTTAATTTATTTAAGATTATAGATCTTATTAAAACTTTATATCGTCTAAAACTTTTACTAAGTATAAGAATTTACGACGTCTTCTATTCTAATCTCTTAAGTCTTATAATAAATAATCTATTACTAAAATAGATAAACTCTTTATCGAAATATATTATTATTAATAATTAAATTAAATAGATTATTAAAGAAATACTTAACTTTAAATTAATTTATAATTATCTTAAGTATAAAGTTAAGTAAGAAGATTTTAATAATAATCTCGTCTAGTATAATATAAATAGCGATAAATTCGAAAATTATTAAGATCTAATAGACGACTTCTATAAATAATATTTTAAAGAGCTTTATTTATAAAGAGTTAACTTATAGAATAATAGAGGATATCCTATTTTTAGTCGAATTAAAACCGTTCGATATCTTTATAATAACCTTATTTTTTCTAAACTCGAGAATCGATTCCTTAGACTTATATTAATCGAGAATTATCTTATATATAATCTTTCGCGTAAGCCCCTCTTACTAATATAACTTTAAAGATCTTTCGAAGCTATATTAGTATATATATAAACTACGCTATTACTATTACGAAATATAATTAATATTAGCTAAATAATATATTATAGAGAAGACTATATTAAAGTTATTTAATATTAAATTATAGTTTTTAGCGTTTACGACTTAATTTGATTCGAGAGCCCTTAACTAATTAAGTCGTATTATTTTATCGATATCTCATTCGCTTAAATACGAATTCGGAAATTATTATTATTTACCCCTACGTCTATAAATATAGTTTTCGCTATATTATATCAATTTTCTCTTAGCTAAACTCTTTATATACGCTTATACTCTAACTAGCGATATCGCTATAGCGTAAATATAAAGAGCTACTATCGTCTTTAATACCTCTTATCAGTATATATAAAAGAATAAGGTAGGGCTGAGCTTGGAAACCTTGAATTTATATATGCAGCCAATTATAAATTCGGGTTCGCTACGCTCTTTAATTAGACCGGCTGAGTCATCGCGGGTAAATAAATTAGCGTCCGCAATTATCAAAATCTCGCCCTCCCGCGCCTCCCTCATTAAAAATTAGATATACGTTATTCATAAATAAAATAACTTTTTTATTTTCTATTAAAATTTTGAAATTTCTTTTTCAAGTTATGAAGCATAGTTTGCGCTATTCAGTGCTAAAAGAATTATAAAAGTCGATCTTATAATTATTGAAAAGCAAGGAGCTCAAATATCGTTTATCAAAGTTCGCTCGACAGCCCTGATTAAAAAATAGGTGTACATTATTTAATTTTAGAATAACTTTTTTATTTTCTGTTAAAGTTTTGAGATTTTTTATTTAAATTATAGAACGTAATGTGGGCTTTCAGATAAAAAAAGAATTACTAAATTTAGTCTTATAGATATCTAAAGGCAAGGAATTCAGATATCGCTCACCAAAGATCGCTCACCAAAATTTACTCGACAGCGCTGATCAAAAAAAATGATTATGAATTTAATTCATAGGCCTTTACTCGTAAAGAAAGATATAATGCTAAGGTTTCCAAATACGATTATTTCTTTACTACTTTTACTATTTTTCAGGCGTTAAGCGTATATATATATTCATTTTTCTATCTTTTCACTTACTAATTATAAAATATAATTTAACGAAAAAGAAGAGTAGTATTATAAGTATATTCTTAATATACCTCTTAATTCTATAGCTAGCGAGCCTTAGCGGAGGTATTCTCTATTATATTATATCTTCTTCTTATCTATATAATTCGATATCTTAGTTATCTTATTTAATATATCTATATTAATATTACATCTATATCGATTCTAATATTTTACGCTTTTTAATAATAGAAAATTTATAGAATTTAATCTTATTATTTTTTAATAATAAGAAATTAAAATATCGCTTATTAAAGATCGCTTATTAAATTTACTCGAGATAGTTCTTATTAAAAAAATAGATATATACTATTTAAATTTAATATAATTTTTTTACTTTCTATTAGAATTTTATAATTTTTTTTAAAATTATAGAGTCTAATTTATATTATCTAATAATATAAAAGTTATAAAATTTAGTCTTATAATTTTTAAATAATATTAGATTAAAGTATTTTTACTCTTCGAGAGTTAAATCTAATCTCGAAATTAAATTTAAAAATTAATTACTTTTTATAAATTTATTTTATAGACCTATACTCGTTCTTATTAAATAAAGTATATATAAGTTCTTTATAGAGATATTAGTATATATAAAAGAATAAGATAAGACTAAATTAGAAAATCTTAAATTTGTATATATAGTCAATTATAAATTCGGATCCCCTACGCTTTTTAACTAGATCGGCTGAGTTATCGCGGGTTAATAAATTAGCGTCCGCAACTATTAAAATCTCGCTCTCTTACGCCTTCTCATTAAAAATTAGATATACGTTATTAACATATAAAATAACTTTTTTATTTTCTATTAAAATTTTGAGATTCTTTTTTTAAATTATAAAACGAAATGTTAGCTTTTAGATAAATTTTTTTTTTTAAATTTAGTCTTATAATTATTAAAGCGCAAGGAATTCAAATATCGCTCATCAAAGTTCGCTCGACAGCCGGATAGCCCGCTCATCAAAGTTCGCTTATCAAAGATCGCTCACCTATTTACTCGATAGCCTTGATCAAAAAAATGATTATGAATTTAATTCATAGGCCTTTACTCGTTTATTATATTAGATTTATAGAGAATAGCTATAATATTATAGTCTTAACTATTAAGATAAATTATAATAATAGATTTTTTAATTAAGTAATAGTAATAGCTATAATAGTTATAGTAGTTATAATAGCTATAGTAGTTATAACTGAATTTCGATTTTATGTTGCGAAAAAAAAGAAAAAAAAAGAAGTAAAACCCGGTTGGTCATTATCGAACACCGTACCCGGAGCCTTAAACTTGATGCTTGCATTAATTGAGATCTTGAATCTGAACACCTGCCGACATATTGTGTATTACACCAATCCCTCACACAACATGTCGGGTATGTCAATTTCTCCACTCTGAAGTGTCAAGACCAGCATCAATACGAAGCTAACGCAAACAGACCCAGAAGACAGCCACATGCTTGGGAGCTCATCCTCATCCGACGACGAAGCCATGTTCCCCTCAGAACTCGAGCCCCCGGGCTCAACCTTCCATGACAATCTCGCCCCCCTTGAGGCCCAGCCTTCTGGCCTATCACCCCCCCAGTCGCAAGAGTTACACGACCCGATGGACACAGCGGAAGCAAGCCACGATATGAATGGTGCCGACCAGCTTATGGATGCGGCGCAGGGCGTAGGTCAGAGCAACGGCAATGGCTGGGAGCCAAAGAGCGAGTTTGCAAAGAGTGCGGAACTGGTGCACGAGCCGGGGAGTTGCTGGAACAATAAGAAGGCGAGGGAGGAGTGGCAGAAGGCTTGGAATCAGATTGAAGACAAGAATTTCAGTCTCAGTGAGTATTCGACGGGGGATGGTGGAGAAAGTGGGAGCTTACCCGTTTTTTATGCAGAGGAGTTCGGTGACCCTTTCGATGAGAGTGAAGGGAGGCAAGGAAATGGAAAATGACTATAAATGGGGCATGAGCTACGGATATCGGACTGCGGCGTGGAACTCTGACTGCATAGCATTTGGCGTTGTGATTCGAAAGGCACAGATAGCATCGGCGTACCCATGAGAACAAATTCTGCAAGGTAAAAATGGATTAGAAGCATTCGTTGACCACGGTCCGTTCCTCTTTTGGGGGCATCTATCGTACAACCCACGCAATAGCAGACCCTCTAGCATTGCTCTAGTAATTACATACTACCGCCTCGGCGCCGTAGGTGCAAGACCAGGCACCCCACTATACCTCTCCTCTCTCTCCGTCTTGAATAGCACCTGCACCCAGAACTCCTTGCTATCCTCATCAAACCAGCTCCAAAACCTCCCCTCCCTTCTATCCACCTCTCTTGCCTGCAGCTTAAATCCACAAGTCTCATACGGCTCGGCTGCCACAAGTAAGTACTGATAATTCTTGTCCGGTGGGTCATCCACTTTCTGCTCAAACGCCGACATGAACCTGACCCTAGGCACCACCCCCGGCGTAATCTCTGGATACTGAAGCTGGAAGAGGAGACCCATCTGCCGAGTCAAGGGATCTCGAGTCTTCGTAATCTTATATCCCGGTCGTCCAATCTTCACCATATTCCTCCGAACCTGCACCCCCATGTTCACACCTAGCATATTCGCATCTTGCGCTCTCCCCTCCTTTTGCTCCCTCGCTGCTCTCCTAGCCAAGTTCGTCTGATGCTTGCGACCTTGTGTGTGAGCGAGATAGGAGCCATCATTCTGATGTACTGTGAGGCAGAGCCGACATTCGAAGGAGCCAACGTGATTCTTGAAGAAGTAGGGGTCTTTGTCGAGATCGATGGTTTCGAGGGCGAGTTTGCGGAGGCGTTCGCGGCGGTCGGCGTTGGTAGCGGAGTGAGATGCTACACCTCCGCCGCCAAACTTGGAACCGGCTCGGTTCTGAGAGAGGAGAGTGTTAGCTCTCTCTTCTGGAGATTAGGACTGGCTATGAAATGGAATGCGTGCCTGGTAATCCATGATGCCTTGCTCAAACCCTGCGAAGTTGAGAGTGTTGAGAGGGAGAGTCGAAGGTTCTTATACACAGCAATTTCTTGGACCGTGGAGTGTGTGATCTTTCAATCGCAAATTGTAAGGTTTTGGTGGGGTGGTACGGGTCTACGCCAGATGATCGCGTCTGTACAGACGAGTAACCACTTGCGGTAAAGCGCATCCGGCTAGCGGCCGTGTATCTACTTCTAGGTTCGTATTACTTTTACTACTAATTTTGTGCAATCTTTACATAGCCTCTTACACCAAGACATGACGCAGGCGTTCAGCGTGCCTCCTAGTCCTTCGACTAACAGAGCTGTCCATCCTCCGAGTCCTTATTTTCCCAATGAGCTGTGGGCAGACTAATGGGATCTCATGGGTACTCTGAGTGTCAACATGCTCTTTGCTGAAGCCAGACTTCGGGTTCGGATAAATCACATCCGTCAACATTTAACTCACCGTTTTCATTTGATTTGCACGTGTGGCTTCTCTGCGAGCCCAGAATCACCCGTCACGCAGCCGTGTCAAAAGATACCAAAACATTGCACATAATACAAATGCTACTGTGTCGACAATAAGTTATGTTCATGAAGAGTGCTTGCGTGGTACAGTCTCCCTTCTCTCAAAACCATTAGCCTCTAGTGATGCTAAGCGGAAGACGGTGATGGAGGCCCGGTGAGCATCAAGATGCGCTTAGTCTGCTGGACTGTTGCCTGCGATTCAGTAGGCACTAGGCCTTCGTCGATGAAGTATTCAACGTCTTCCTGGTCGAGCCTATGCTTATATTCTCGAATTCCGTCTGGGGATCTGAGGATCAAGTTTTGATATTGAAGTAGTCGTTTTGTGTGGGGCGATTGCTGTACGCAGAGAGCTTACTTTTGAGCAAGCACTGGCGGTCGAGAACACAGATTTTTTGCGCGTTGGTTGTCAGCTTCATGGTATGGTGCGTGAAGCGAGGAAGAAGAAACCCGTTTATCATGATATCCATCTTGACAGCCCTATCCGTTTGGGTATTGTCGCCAATGCTTGGGCCTGTTTCGACGTAGCATCGCAAAACCGCTCCGATAAACTTCGACGAGGGTAGAGTAATTCTACGACCATTAGCAAATTATTAGCAAACTTCGCGGTGCTTGGACAAGATGTTAGTATACCTTGGAGACTGTAGCATTGCTCGGAGGAGTGGAGCATATCCAGGTTCTGGTTTCACACACATATCTACGTCGAAAGTCTGACGGGTGCTGCCGTAAACGCGCATTGCAAAGCCACCAGTGATAGCGAATTGACCGTCCTGGATGGCAACCTTCGAGTGGTATCCAGACTGAGGTCACGTAGAACCTTATGAAAATCAGAGAAGCGATGCTGAAGCTGGAGGATGGCATATAAATTTGAGCGTACTGACCATTAGATTGTGGAGCAAGAAGCGGCGCTAGAAGGAAATGAACTGCGTTCTGTTGACAGGGAGAATTCAAGTAATTGGCTGCTCAGCTCAATTTTCTGAGGTTGTTCTCTGTTTCACATCATATTGGACCTAATTAGCTCCGGGGTAGTTACGTGAGAGATTCGCTTTGCTCCTGCCATTGGCTAGGCTCATGACAGCGGATACCTCGAAGAGGTATTTTGGATTCGATTTCGTCGCCCATTAGCCCTCGTCCTCGCTTATTGCGAAGACTCTATGTCTGCCGCAGTCTGTTGAAAGATCATGCCCAGCGTTCGAGTCGCTCTTAATTTGGCATTTTATTCATCATTGGTAGGCCTTGAGAATCATTAATCACTCCAACGCTACGCTTCGCGTGATATCGGAGCTTGATTCGTAGTCGAATATGTGGGGTGTGACCGAGTAGATCGATGTGATGTCCCAGTAGGAACAAAAGGATTGATGGAAAGAACAAATAATTGAATAAGCGCATTATTTTCAGCTGCTCCTATGGCTCGGTGGGAACAAGTCGAAATGCACTTCGGTAACGCAAATTCGCTTCCTGCGCTTACGAGTCCCTGTTGTATCTGCCCAGTCTCCTCAAGCCTGTCTCCTTTGTGAAAATGGCCTCTGCGTGAGTCTGAGGATAGAGATTTATCAAGTGATACTTTAACAGACCCGTGTAATGTCGTCTCACTGTCCGGGGTGAGGCTTCCAGGGAAGGAAGATCTGTAAGGAGGAGCAGCCCCTATTTTTTCGGTCCTGAGTTCGATCCTGACAGAGGCCCTTTTTGCATTTTGGACACCCCAACTTTTGACAAATTTTAACCGAAGGCCATCACTATTTCGTGACGACGCCACCATGCTGGCACCGCAGGGTTCAAGGTCGATCAAGCCGTAGATTCAAGAATTTAGCATGCAATCAAGCTTAAAAGCCTTGCCATCTTTGATCTGGTCTAGGAACGTTCTGCGCCAGGCCAGCAAACAAGCAGTGCGATGGTCACGTATATTCTCAGAGAAGTGAGCATTAAGAACGTAAGGAGCATCCGGTGTACGAATTGTTCAAATTTTCATTGCTGGATAGAGCACCGCATTAAATCTTAGAATCTTGGAATCTATCCCATTTCGTCCTTACGCTTTAGTATCGAGAGCCACAAACCCTACTTGGTTACATCCTAGTCCAGACGCATTGTACGCACTTCCATAGATCCTTCTCTGCCCGAGGGCTTGAGTGGTGAGGTTTCGCAGCCTGATGGCACAGACATGGGAGAGCGCAGAAGCAAAGACAAATAGCTTTTGGTTTGTGCATGCTGAACCATTTCTAACGCAAAGCCCCAGCGCACGAACATTTTATTGGGCGTACCAAATGTCTTGGAATAACCCGTACGACAAAAAAAAAAAAATTCAAGAGTTTGGGACTCAAGGCTGAATCCCAGAGAACAGTGAGTGGAGTTCATATTACTGCTGCAAAGTATTTGGTTTCGGGGCCACTAGGGCGGAGAAAAAGGTTGACATGTCGTTGGAGAAAGCATCTCCAGCTAGCCGCAAGCGCCAGGAGGCCGCGCCTAAAATCTAGCTTCCATCCCTGCCGGCTGCCCCCCTGATCTATAAAGCAAATTCAGCAGCTAGCGCGGACCTTCTGCGATGGTGCAATGAAGGATGTCCAGACCCGAAAATTACTTTGGGCGAAGACTCTCCTTTAGCGGAGCACTATGTACGGTGCGCTATGTTGGCCCCATCGAGGGCACTAAAGGAGACTGGCTTGGGGTAGAATGGGACGAGCCAAGTAGAGGCAAGCATGGTGGAGGTCATAAGGGTGTAAGGTACTTTGAATGTAGGTATGGATTCAAGACTTCTTGTATTTGATTGGCTTTTCATAATCCGTAATGTCCAAGAATGTCTTCTTGTCTTTGCTCGCGATTGCACGACTATCTGCATGAACTCATTTGTTCTATGCGTCAGGTCGTAGCGCTTCTCCTACTGCAGCATCCTTCATTCGCCCTTCTAGACCCAGTGATCAGCCTACTAGCTTTTTTGAAGCTTTGAAGAAAAAGTATGCCTCTGCCAGTGCAGAAGAAATCACGGCAACGGCAAATGAAATCCACATCAGTGGCAAAACCGTGGAGGAGGTCGGCTTCGAAAAGATCCGACGGCAGCTTGCAAAGGTGCAAGAACTTCGTATTGTGGTGTTGGACGGTGCATGTATTGCTGCCGTTGACAGCGATCTCGAGAAACAGAATTTGAAGATCATCGAGCTTGACCTGAGCAGGAATCTGCTCGAAAGTTGGTACGAAGTCACTGCTATCTGCAGTTCTCTCCATTGTTTGCAAAGCCTTAGACTCGAGTACGTCCCCACGACATATCTATATATCTCTAGCATCTCTGCTCACCTCGAGTCCTACAGTGGTAATACATTGAGCCGGCCCCAGGACCCATTCAATAGTGACGAATCACATGGGTCCTATGGACAACTCAAAGAGCTGAGCCTTAACAACCTTGGCTTCTTGCCAGAAACAGCGACTGGAGAAATTGGCAACCTCTCATGGGAATTTGTGAGTAGACCATATTCCTCCTTGGACCACCACTCCTCGGCGCTAACCGAATGCCTCAGATCAAAAAGTTCACGGCCGTATTCCCCTCGCTGACGACCCTTTCTCTCGCCTCCAATAACCTCACCGACATCACGTTGCCCCTTACGACCCCACTTCTCACGAAATTAGACCTTTCTTCCAACGCGTTCACCACCCTCGAGCACATCCGCCCACTAACAGCACTTCCCAATCTCCAAACCCTCTCCCTCCGAGCAAATCCCCTCACATCGCTCTCTTCACCACCAGATATGGGCATCCTCTTCCCAAAGCTCAAGCATCTGGATCTAATATCGACAGTTCTTCCCACTCTTTCCTCTCTCAATCCAATCCCCGTGTCATTCCCAGGACTTACATCACTCCTTACAAACCACACACCACTGATCACCTATCCTTCCGCGTCACTCCATACAATCGCCCGCCTTGCGACACTTACCGAGCTCAATTACTCACAGATCACCCCCCCGGAAAGACAGAATGCGGAGCTCTACTACCTCAGCCAAGTATCGAAGCAGCTCGCTGCCGTCACTGACAATGTCAAGGAGCGCGAGGTACTGGAGGAGCACCCACGATGGAAGGAGCTGTGCGATATCCACGGCGAGCCGACCATCATCAGAACGAACGATGCCGACGCGGCCGACGCAGGAACACTGGCAGCACGAGTGACGGAATTCGTATTCCAAATCAGCAAACAAGACCTGCAAAGAGCGCGAAAGCACGCTCAGAGCATAGACGGCCATTCAGGCGAGAATACCGCGAAGAATGACCCCGGCCACGATGCTCCCATCGTCGAAAAGACGAAACTCATCCCCCGCACCGTAGACGTCTACCGCCTCAAAGGCATCGTAGGCCAACTCTTCAGCATCAGACCCATGTCGGTGAAGCTGATTTGGGAGACGGAGGAGTGGGATCCTGTGGGTGAGGGGGACGGGGGGTGGAGTGTCAGTGAGGACGAGTCCGACGAGGAAAGCCGGTTGGAAAGGAAGGACAAGAGGAGAGAGAAGGAAATGTGGAAGAGGAGGGAGATGGAGCTGGTGGATGGGACGAGGGAGGTGGGGTTCTTTGTCGAGGGGAAGCGTGCTAGGGTGAGGGTTGAGTCGCGCTGAGGCCGTTCCTGATGCTGTGCACTGGCATTTGCAGCAGAGGGCGTTCTCGCATATCTGCGTTGCTGCAGTGTGCACATGCCAGGGTAAAGTCGCCGGAAAAGGTCGTAGTCGGAGCGGTATCGAGACCCAAAATGCTGGTAATTTCGTATCGATTGAAGAGCTTCTTTTTGCTTAACGTTTTTCTCCAATCGGGCTGGCGACCCGACTTCGGCGTCAAAATTCAAAAAAGTCTAGTCACTGGTGACTGCCACTTTTTCTAATGGCTCGCGTAAGGTTCGAGAGCACTAAGCATCATATCGGAGGTGCACGTGTCAGACCGTGTCAGACCGCTGAACAGGAAGGGACTTTGACTACGCGTATCTCCCTCAATAAAATTCAGCGCAGAAAGGGCTGGGTGTTGGATATTCCTTTCTATTCGATTGCTAGTGTATGCTATGAGAATTTTTAGAGCTTCTGCTCTACAGGCCAAATGCTGCAGAGAGAGAGCTGGCTGATCGTACGGTGATTTTGCACTCTTTCTCCACGAGGGGTACTGAAGACACCGTAAATGAGACGATGGATTTGCACTATACTCCAGTGTTTGCATGGATGCTATAGACACCGTATGTGTAAGCCCTGATGATGCGAGATGCGATTAGAAACTGCTCAGCAGCTTCTCGAAACCCGAAATTTTTGCCTCCTGTGGACTATGATGACCATGATGAGAAATTGCACCCCTGATCCGCCGCCTATGCCGGAATTTTCGATTCGCCATTCTTGAGATCGAAATCGATGCCCACACTGATTGTTTGAAACCCCCAATCGCACTACTCGTGCTGTCCAGGATCCGCAAAAATCGTACTTTGATTGATCAACTCTCCGGGCGCTATTAAGCGAGGTAACTCACTCCTGGATAGCACGAGTATGTAATTCAAGCTTCATTCATGCCCTTGAACCTCTTGAACGTGTACCCAATGAATGGCAACGCCATGTCAGCAGATTGCTGGTCGTCTAGAGACTCGGCTTGGGCACGGACTAGTGCAGAATCGTCATTTTGATTAATATCGTCGATTGGGAAATAGGACACGTCAGTGGCGGATTTGAGGTTTGGTTCGAAGGGAGCGCGGATGGAGCGGAGACCGTTCCAGTCAACACCGTGGAAGAAGGGGTGTGCTTTGATTTCGATACTGCCACCCGGACCGCCTTGAGAGCCGAGACGGTCTTGGACGTCGCAAAGCATGCTGTGGGGTACTGTCAGCTTGAGGGACAAGGAAGGGTGGATCAGAGAACCATGTACCTCCGGATGCACTCCTCCGCGATAGGCCACGAATTACGGTTAGCGGGGTCGTCAGCCATCGGGTTATCTTCAGGGAAGTACAGTGTTTGCTTCCAGTTGACAATCTTTCGGTAGGTGTCATGGGCATCCTCGGCACAGAATGGAGGCCAGCCGATCAAGCACTCAAACATGATAGCTCCGACGGACCACCAGTCACAGCTGAAGGAGTAGCCTTGGCCAGTGAAGATCTCAGGAGCGATGTAGTCGGGGGTACCAACGGTGGAGTAAGCTATGCGACGACGAGATTGGCGCCATGTCGTGATCGCTTGGCGGCTCATAGTGATATTGAGCTGGTCTAGCGAGAGTGAGTTGCGATTGTCGCGAGCCTTGTTCGAAGTTCCCTTAATCAGGTTTTGGTAGTAGGAGTTGTCGTGTTCCTTGTGGAAGCCAGTGGATAGACCGAAGTCCGTGAGCTTGACGTGTCCACCACGATCCAGAAGTATGTTGTCTGGCTTGATGTCACTGAAATGATATTAGCAAATGAGACCAAACTCATGCGCCACTGAAAACAGGGAGCAGCGTGCTGGGGTTGTACGGGAAAGTGATGTCATGCTGGAGGACGGAGTTCTAGACGCAGAGGCAATTCAAAAAAGCACGTACCGATGAATAAAGCCATGCTTGTGTACAGCTTCAATGGCAAGAATGATCTCGGCAATGTAGAATCTCGTTATCGGAACGGAGAAGATCTCATACTTGATGAGCATAGTCATAAGATCCCCTCCTGGCAAGAACTCCATCAACATGTAGAGTTTGCTCGTATCCTGGAATGTCGTGTATAGCTTGACGACCCATGGACTGTCAGACTCGGCCAGGATATCGCGCTCTGCACGTACATGTGCAAGCTGGTCTTTCCTGAACATCTCGGCTTTGTTTAGTGACTTCAGCGCGTAGATCTTGCCGTCTTTTATACGGGTGACGAGCTTCACCTCTCCAAATGCACCCTTACCAATCTTCTTTACCGTTATAAAGTTTTCGGGTTCTTCTTTGGTGCGGAGGAAACGAAGGTATCGCGCTTCAGCACTGCCAGCCTTCTCATTTTGACGGATCTTTTCTTGCTCAGAGTGCCTATCACTCTTCAGGAACTCATCAAGCTCCCGAGCGCTGAACATAAAACCCGATGTCAGGAAACGATCCGTAGCTATGAGCGCGTGACCGTCTAACACAAGGAAGAGCTTACCGAACATTTCGATCACGAGCACGAGAGATGTTCTCCTTGAAGAAAGATTCGACCAGAGCGTGCAGTCCCTGGCCGCGCTTCACGACGTTGGAAGAGTATTTTTCTGGGTTCTTTTCCGGTGGCTGTTCCTCAGGGGGAGCACTGTACAGAGAAGCTCCTGAGAGGGTGCCATTCGACAAGGAAGGCGCCAACGTGGCCGAATTATTCGACTGGTTGGAGGTAAAGTTGTGCTGGTTACGAGCCAGCTGGCCCTGATTCTGTTGACCGTTTGGGTATAATCTCGAACTCGGAGATTGTTGACGAGCGAATGGACTTGCTTGACGCTGAGGTGTTCCAAGATTCTGGTTCGAGAATTGGCGTGCGAGGCCGGAAGTAGGATCATTGGCATTGTAGCCAGTCTGACGTTGCTGATAGGATGGCTGAGGAGCTAGGACATTTGGTTGCGGATATTGAGGCTGGGGCTGAGGCTGAGGCTGAGGCTGGTACTGGTACTGGTTCGGTTGCTGGTACGATGTCTGAGGCTGGCTGTACTGAGCCTGGTATCCGCCCGTGGGGAAGTAGCTGCCATTTGGACCGCCGTAAGGGCTCTGAATCTGGGCACCGACGTAATCATTGGCGGCCTGGCCGCCGGGAAAGACTGAGTGAGGGAAGTTGGAAGGTGTGGTTGGAAAGACACGCTCGTTAGTAGGTGTATAGTTCCGATCATTGTTATAGCCGCTGCCTCCGCCTATTCCACCAAAATTGAGGTGGAGTTGCTTCTTTGGGTCGATATTTCGATCCATAATGGGTGACGGTGGTGGTTGTTGTTTCTGGTGTGTACGGGGTTGACCGTGAGCGGACAGCGGACAGCGGACAAAGTGTCACGGGAATGAGACAGGAGACGCGCTAGCATTTTGGTCGCGAAGAAGGAAGAAGTGATACTTTTGCGGGATAAGTTGCCGGTCAATCAGAGACAGCGGTGTGGAATTTCTAAGCCAAAATACTAGCAATTGGCAAGTACTACTACAGCGACTTCTACTCTACATGTACACAGGGGGCCCCCCAGAAAGAAAGATCAAGAATATTGAGAGATATAATAGAGGCAATTGGCAAGCTGTAGCTAAGTTTCATACTTCTAAAATTATACTTCTAAAATTACATAAGAATTCAAAGTAAAAGATATATATTCACTTGCGATGAGTACTGATCACTGACTGCTTGAGGCCATGACAATAAATAATTCAGGAGGACGCATACAGTACATTGCATTGACGGCCATGTGTTCCGCTGGTTCGGGACGGCGCCATTGCGGCATCTAGACCATCTCGGGGTAGACCTCCCGAATAAACTTTTCTGCTGGAGCATGATGACTTTCCTTCCCAGCTTGAGGTGGCCTGGATGAGTGCTTCAATCATGACAGAGAAGCCTCCATCGAAAGATGCCTCCCCCGCCGCCTCTTCCAAGGCGGCGGGCAATCCAGCGCTTCGAATGATGGGTGGGTCAACGTTAAAAGGACCATCAAGAGAAGTAGGCTGATAAACCAAAAACATACAGGACTACCAAATTTCAAATTCAAGCTACCCTCTCGCAATTGGCTTATCTTTGGGACGATAACTGGCTCCTTCACTTCGACGCTTCTGTATGACCGCTATCACAAGAGGAAAGCGCAGCGAAAATGGTGCACCTTGGTCTCCCATCTCGCACAAGAACCTTTGCCTGTCAACATGATGCCCCGGAGAATCACCATCTTTCTGACCGCGCCACCTGGGGATGGACTTCGAGTATCTCGAGACCATTTTCATGAGTATATTAAGCCTATATTGGTGGCTGGAGCTATGGATTGGGATGTCGTTGAGGGCCGCAGAGAAGGAGAGGTAAGGGCAGGACTTGCGGAGAAGATAAGAAAACTTCGAAAACGAAATGGCGAGACTTCGCAAGCTGAGTCTAGTGAAGAGAGCCAAGAAGATTTGTACCAGGAAATGCGGAAAATGGCTGGAATCAAGGATTGGGATGGCGTGCAGGGCGATCTGGTTCTGGGCAGACACACCTGGAAGGAGTACATACGTGGTCTTCACGAGGGCTGGCTAGGACCCTTAGACGAAGTTCAACCTCCCGAACCAGAAACAACAGATCTACAACCGCTGGCACCTCACTCTCCAGACTCCCCCCTTCCAGAGATGCCAGCTTCAGGAACACCCTCCTCTTCTCCACCCCAAACCGACCCACCAACGCCCGAACTTCCGTCTGAAAAGCCTACTGGAAAGCCTGAAAAACCACCCATCACGCCTCCTTACATTACGCCTTTCGAATATGCGTCTTCGCGAGCGGCTCCCACGCTCCCTACTTCCCTCTCCCCATCACTGCCCGTCGCTCTTCCCCACCTCCTCGGCTTCTTCAACTTTCCTATACGCATCCATCGCTTCCTCACCCGGCGGCACCTCGCTAACGCCACCGGCGCCTCTGTTGCAGCTCTAGTCCTCGCATCTCATTCACGCCCATTTACCCAATCCACCGACTTCGCTTCTGCCACCGACCCAGACGACGATGCCTCGCCCAGCATGAATGACCAGACTGAAAGTGCTGTCACGCAAATAAAAGAAGTGTGGGAGCAAGAAGTGGTATTAAGGGAGGAAGAGTCAGAGTGGCATAAGAGCGCTTGGAAGTCAAATGAGGAGGGAGATATGAGGGAGAGAGTGTGGCAGGAAAGGATGGTTGTTGACGGAAGGATTGGGAGTAGGATGAAATGTTTCGAACTGAGAAATGGTCAAGAGGAAGAGGCGGCGAAGCTCGATGCGGCAAAACGACAAGAGGATGAAGGATATGTAGAGAGGGCAAAGAAGTGGGCTGGCTTGGGTTCAAAAGAGAAGCCTGGGTGGGAGACGGGTCTTGAGGGAGATGAAAGCGCGTGATGATATACCTGTACAGTTGAAGGAGCTTTTGCATTGCGGCGGCGCCAACATTTCTGGACTAAGTTTATGTATTCTACCAAGTCTTTCGATTCCTGGATGCTGAGTGGATACAGGTTAAAGAAATTCCCCTCTCAGCTACTTAATTTCCCCAAATTTCGAATGACCAGCCTTTTTTCGCTCCGAATCCTCCACTTCTTCGCATCTCACTCATATTTTCAATAGGACGATGGCATGGAACATAGCAATTATCATTATCATGCAGGTCTTTCTAGACCTTTGCTCTGATTGGCCAAAACGAATCTCAGGAACGGGCAATGCACCGCCGATCTTGCCGCGCACTAAATTCCCCACGCGACGCCTTAATTCCGTCCAAAATTCGATGTCGTAAACAAGTTTCCTCATTTTCGCGGCAATGGCATTTTTCATTTCCCTTCCCCTGTCCTTACCTCCCCTTAGCAATCATCATCATGGTCCACAAACCCCTAACTAACGGCCATGCAACTTCAGACTACAAGCCTGATGATCTCGAAGCTGCCATCAGTGCATCGCGCCGAAAACCTCGATTCAAAGATATTGTAAATGCCGCTGTCCATGACGATTTTCATGGCGAGCTTAAGCGCAAGTTGAAAGATGGCGTCGATCGCGATGAGCTGGAAAAGTACCGCAAGTCTATCTCGGAACTGAGTGAGATCAAGGACAAGAAAGTGCGGGCTTTCTATGAACAGCAGAATGAGAGATTGAATGACTGGCTCGAGGTCGATACCTTAGTGATGAGTATGGCTGATGACGTGCTGGACTCAATGAACCCGCAGGATGCTGATGGAGATGGGGTTGCGGAGATCGGCGGGGCGTTGAAAACCACCAAAGGCGATATTGATCCTTTGCTGCCGGAGGATGAGAGAGAAAGGAGGAAGACTGGGGAGAGGAGGGCTAAGTGGGCTATCAATGTACGGTCGTGCGGCTATTACCCTTATGAGTCTTTCCACTGATCATCTTCAGATCAACGTAATTGCGAACATAATCCTCCTCACTGCCAAAATCATCGCCGCCTTCGCGTCCTCCTCCCTCTCGCTCATAGCTTCCCTCGTGGATTCCGCTCTTGATCTGCTGTGCACTTTGATCATCTGGACCACGAACAAGCTCGTCCAATGGAAGATTCGACGGCTGCGGCACAAATTCCCCGTCGGTCGGCGTCGCCTAGAACCACTGGGTATACTCGTGTTCTCCATCATCATGATTGTCTCTTTCCTTCAAATATTGCAAGAGTCGGTCACAAAACTGCTGCCCGGAGGGCCGAGGGATGCAGCGACCCTACCTCCCGTGGCGATCGGTGCCTTAGTTGCTACGGTGGTGATAAAGGGCATCATCTGGTTCGGTTGCATCCGCGTCAAAACCACCCAGGTTCAAGCATTGGCGCAAGGTACCACCCCCCCCCCTCAATCTTTCCCAAAATAATCCCTTCAAACCCCTTCTGACAGACCCTTTCAGACTGCAAAACCGACGTTGTCTTCAACACCCTCTCCCTCCTCTTCCCCCTTCTCGGCCACCAATTTTCCCTCTGGTGGCTCGACCCCGTCGGCGCCGCCCTCCTCTCCCTCTTCATAATCTACGACTGGGCCGAAACCTGTTTCGAAAACGTCGCCCGCCTCACCGGCTCCGCCGTTTCCCCCAACGTCCTCAAAAAGGTCACGTTCCTCGCCTGGCGTTTCGCCCCCGTCGTAGACGCCTACAAAACGATTACGGCTTACCACGCGGGTGATGGAGTGTGGGTTGAGATGGACATTATGCTCAAAGAGGAGACGAGGTTGAGTAGGGCGCATGATATAGCGGAGACGTTGCAGTATTGTTTGGAGGGTCTAAGCGAGGTAGATAGGGCGTTCGTCAGTGTCGATTATACAAGTCAGGGGCCTACAGGGCATGCCGAGGGATGAGGGTAGATGCATAGCGAGGGAGCATTCGTCTCCTGGCATTCTAGCGGGTCACTGAGTATCCAGCTCAACACGAGCGCAGCATGGGCAGGGCTGCATAGCATCGGCGTAAAGTTTAGGGTATTTCAGCGGTACTATACTAGTCCATTTCATACGTTCATCTTCCACCTCCTTTTCTCTTACTTTCCTTTCCGTTCTATCTGAGGTACACCAAGATCATCTTGAGATCGCAGATGTGATCAATTAAGATGCAGAGAGTCACGCCAAATACAACTTCGGTCCATCGCTCGCGCCAGTGCAATCCTCTTTCTTCCTTCGGAATTTGTCCAGCCGGGTCGGACGTTCAGTCTCCTTTCTTCTTAAGAGCGGTAGCTTCAGGCCATCTTTCGTGCGCCGCAGCCAGATAGTCATCTCGGTACTGATCCTTTGCCTTCCATTCTTTCAGCAGCTCCAACCCTCGTACAGCATCCTCTAGACTACTCCCTTCAAGTGCTAGCGTCCTGATGACATCCTGCTGGTTCTTGTCGCTACTGCTCGGATCCAGAAGTTGCCTCACCTTTAGGCATGCTTGCACATGCGGGGCACTCATATGGTGTTTTTGCAGGAAGTCATCGTTGTGTTTCGAGAGGTCGGCAGTGGCGGGAAGAACTGGGTCAAATTCGGCAGCGATAACTTCTTGAACTTTGCGGTCCGGTGGTTCGGTCTGTGTACGGAAGGTGTGTCCAAGGCGAATGGCTTGTTCGTGGGTAGTTGGGTCTGAGGACGAGAGGGCGTTGGATGCTAGGAGAGTGCGGAGCGCAAGCAGGTATTTCTCTGCAAGCGGATTAGTCCTTCATCGAACTTGCAATACTGGCCTTGGCGTGCACTTACTTCGCCGGAGGAACACCTCGAAACCCACCTGCTGGGCCTTAATGTTTTTTGGGCTGAACTCGAGAAGTGGCGTGACGAACTTCATAGCCTCTACAAGAGGCTCTGACGTCTGCAACAGCTTCTCGCCTTTGGGGTCTTTATCCTCTTTCTTAGGATCGCCGTTCTGATCAACGGCTCCAGGCTTCTTGGAGTCCTTTCTCTCCGCTTCCTCTTTAGCCTGCTTCTCCTGGTCCTTCTTCGCCTTTTTCTGCGCTTTCTTACGTTCCGCACTATCCATCTTCTCTCCGTTCACTCCGTTGGTCATCTTAGCATGAGCAAGATCGGGTTGATCATGGAGCACTACGTATATCCGTGCAGCCGAGACCGCAGCACGCGTGAAGAAAGGATGTTCTCGAAGATGGTCCTCCCACCTCATCATATCAACGTATGCTCGGATTTGACCCTTTCGCAACGAAAAGCTATGGAAATCAAATTGATCTTCTTGCCATATCTCAAAAATTGTGGAGATGGACGTGAATCTTTTCAGAGCTAGACCGAGGTTGCCTTGACGTATATATGATTCGCCGTCTTCTGTTATGTACCAAACACACTGCATGTCATGGAGATCTCCAAGAGGTCCACCCAAAGCTTCGTTCCTTGTGAATTTGCCCATGTTTTGGATAGCTGCTTTGTTCTCATTATTTCGTAGTTGATACTTCGCGGCCTTAGTATTGATATATCGATCTCTGACGTCCAGTGTCCTGCCTTCCTCCATCAGCTCTGCAGCTTTCTGGAGGTTGCCGTAATGTTTCCATATCCTAGCTTTCGTCATATGGTACTCCACAGATTCTGGTGCCGAGCTTAGGGCCTCATTAATGTATTTCATGGCTTTTGGCAAGTCCCGACTCAAACGATAGTTGTAATGCTGAGCTAAGAAGTATCGTACGGAAGGTGTGAACAGGTCTGAGTCGCCATTGATTTGCCTTTCAGCTGATCCATTAGCTTGGGTATTGAGCATGCCAGCTGCGTAACCCTCTACCAAATCCTGTATCGTGTCCCGCTTTTGAGAGTCGGAGTATAAAGCTTTCACATTGTTGAAGGTCGACCAGACGCCCTTATGCAGCATACGTTGCAGGTACTGGTCGGCAGCTTCGCGAAACTCATCACCCTCCAGAAACTCCAGGGGTATCCTCGTCGCAGCATCTCCTCTGGGATTGTCTTTTGCAACGTCTCCGTACAGCTTTGTAAGTTCTTCGACGTTGGACTTATCGAGCCCCAAGGCCTCTTCAAGTCCTTCAAAATACGCTCGGTACTCTGCGTTGCGTTTCAGCAACAGATGATACGCCTTTGCTGCCTCTTCTTTCCTACCCAAGTTAAGTAGGTATTGCGCCCGTAGCTCCATCACTGATGTCCGGTCTGGATTGTTCTTTGCTGCTGCGTCCAAGTGCTCCAAAGCACGCTCCGTCTCGCCCATCTCCGCGATTATAGAATTCTTGTACAAGATAGCCTCGGCGTGCTCGGTGTCGGTCTTCGGTGGCGGAGACTTCAGAGTCTCTTCGTAGGTCGTCAAGGTCCTCTCCGCATTGGCAAGATCCCCTGCTAGATGCTGTGCGACTGCCAGCGCCGTCCAATTCTGCCTCCAACCAGTCCGCTGTTGTAAGATTGCTCGTCGGCTCTGTAAGTAACCTTGGTAGTCTCGCATCTGTATTTGCAGCAAAGCCAAGTCCTTCTGTATCTGCTGTGATTCCGGCTCCAGCTTCAGCGCAAATTTGTATGCTTTGATTGCCTCTTCGAAGTTTTTGGCTGATCGGTAAAGAAGACCGTAGACGTGCCAACAGACATGCGATTTCATGGAGTTTTTAAGTGCCACTTTCGCCAATGCAAATGCTTCCTCGGAGTTCCCCTGCGAGTTGATGATGAGCGCTTTCATGGCGATGGTGTCGCCATGATCAGGGCTTTTTCGTAGGATCTGGTCAGCAGCTTTCAGACCTTTTGAAGCGGTCAGCCTAGCACGCCTCTTTTCCAGCTTCTCGCCTACCTTTCTTGTACTGTTTGTTCTCGTAGTTCTTGACCACCTGGGTGAAAAGCGAGCGCTCTTTCGAGGCCAATGGCTGTGGGGGAGGCGGAGCCATGTTGAGTTAATGGTGAGAGCTGTAAAATAGCAGAATTCGGTGAGGGATGATATATGGGTATTTTCTGCTTTTTTCAAGCAGCTGTCTCAGTAAGGAGAACAGGGCCAGTGCTCGGGATGGCCCTGTAAGTTGAACTGCCCTGATTCAAAGTCTCTCGAGCATGCCATTAGTCTTTCTGACGAATCCTTTCTTCCGTGTGAAGCAAACACTCTATAACGACAATCCTATCCACAAGCCTAGACCATTAGGCAATGATGTAGATGTAAGGTTCTTGCAACACCGCAGCTCCGCAGAATCGGGCATAAGCGAGGGTTTACCCGCAGCAGCCAAGGAAATTTTTGTTCCTACTGTCGCTTCACGAAGACTTGAATTATATATGTCACTTGATTTGACATATCTTACTATACACAAGCTTCTAAATTAAACTCCAAAGTGGATTGTCCATAAACCATCAAAGTGCCACTGCATGGCATTGAGCCAGTGACGCCGTCGCTAATGCTCTCATCATGCTATACCACCTCTGATACACTTACACCAGCATAATCCCTATCGATCAGCTTCTCTGTCATGTCTCCACTTGTTCAACGCTTCCTCCCACCCGGTCCCGGGGTCACCGCATCTTTCTGACACCAGACTCCACGTTCGTGATCTTATGATGCCCTCTACGCTCCTTTCATTCCTGATGAGATTCGCCAGTAGCTCCGTCCTTGCTTCCCTCGGAAAGAAGCGCCCCGAATATGGGTCAAGGCGCTCATCTACCACCCGTTCCCTCTCCTTTGCCGACTCAACCTGCTTTAGAGCTAGATCAGGGTCACTTGGATCCAAGGCGACGCCTGCACAATAGTTGAGAACATCAGATCTCGTCTGCCAACTTCGGAAGAGCACCTCATTCTTGAAGCTTTGACATGCTTGTGGATCTGTAGGCCGTCTCTCAACAGGCCGTATCTGCCGTTCTGACGTAGTAGCTGGATCCCATGGTTTCCTCGAGGGTGTCATCAAAGCATTGAGGTTCTGTATTATGGAATCATCAATCATGCCCCTAGATAGTCGGAGGAAGTCTTGGAGACTGTCAGCCAAAGTCTGCAACTGTTGCCTGCTCGAGCCTACCTTGAAGAGCTGTCTGATTGAAGCAGAATTGCGGTGTGAGATTCGGTCGGCTTGGAGGCTCTGACATCCTCTTTTGCGCTTGAATAGGAGCAGTGTGCTTTTCGCGCTGCTTTTCACTCTTCACTGTGACCCAGAAGAGCCCCGCCACCTTGAACAATGTCCAGCTACTGAGGGAATGTTGGGCACGCTGACTTCGCAGGACTTGCCCGTAGCTGGTGATCCGCAGAGGTAGTTGACACTCGAAAATGGTGTGCAAAAACAAAGGAGAATGGTATATATGCTTGAAACCAAAATCACATCAAATGAAGTCTTTTTGGACGCCTGCGATGATGCTGCCAAGAGATGGCAATAATTCAGCTAGATTAAGCGCGCTCACTAGGCGAGCCGCGGAGAGGGCGTCATTCGACATCTTGGCGCGGACTTTTGGCGCAGGCCTAGCTAGGAATAAATATCTGCAGGGGCTGCCTGCGACGCTTAGATGGGGGTGCGAAATCTCAAATCACCGCGAAATTGCGAATGATCGATATATGCGCTACGCGAGGTCTTGGCGAGATTCGAGCGGGATTGACGACGCGTTCTTAATATTGGCATTTGGCCCATTGGGGCAGACCCTTTCCAACTCCTTGGTAAGCATGATATCAGCGTAGATGCTAGTCTCACTGAACGTCTGGGAAGCTAAGAAACCGTTGTCGCTCGAATCCACCTTCTGCCTGCCACACAAAATTAAATCGCGTTGCGTGCATCTTGAAGAGAGCGAATCTTACTATTTGAGACTCAAGATTTGTTTCAGTCCACGAGCAGTCTCGTGATTCAAGCGCCTCAGTCTACACGTTTTTCGCCTGGATTTGACCTTCAAGATGCCTGAAATTGGCGAAGGTATTACCATTGCATTTTCCGAAGACCGAATCAATGCTGACATCATGGTGGCAAGTCGCTCGTGTCGTCAACTACATACATAAACATCTTGTCGGGAAGACATTGGCTAAAGTGAAAGCCCAGCACGATGAAAATGTCTACGGCAAGGTGGGATGTTCAGCTGAAGCATTCGAGAAGGCTTTAACGGGCAAGAAGGTCGTAGATGCCAAACAGCAGGGCAAGTACTTTTGGTAAGTTCCAGCCGCCTCATACATAGATGTCAAGTTGCCATCACGCCTGATGATTCATTTTCATACTGGAATATCCACCAATGTTTTACGGTCTGGGCTCTCATTCTGTTAATTCGTCCTGTATGTGCAAGATATATCGAAATCAGGCTGGTTGCATCAGGTCGTCCTCATCGTCTCTCTTCAGCTTGAGCACCGTAGTCTAGGTTTCACATGGACTTGGTTCTAAGTGATCTGTACAGGATGGTTATGTCATCACCTCCGCACCCCCTAATGCACTTCGGAATGGCAGGCTGGCTCAAGATCAGGGATGAAGAAACAGCCTACTACAAGCCTGCAAAGCCCGAAGAATCGCCAGAATGGCCGCCTAAGTACTGGAAATTTGCACTCGAGACCGCCGAAGAGCCAAAATGTGAAGCTGCATTCGTTGACTTGCGGAGATTTGCAAGAATTCGACTCATCGACTGTGCTGCTGATCAAATGCGGAATGTCTCGCCGCTTCTGGAGAACGGTCCTGATCCCGTCATTGATAAGGGTATTGTGACAGAGGAGTGGCTAGCTGAAAAGCTAGGAAGCAAACGAGTTCCAGTCAAGGCACTTCTGTTAGATCAAGCAAATATTAGTGGTATTGGCAATTGGGTTGGGTGCGTGCTTCTTGAATTCCAATCAAGATTCCTATGGTCTTGCTATGGACGCTAATTTGATCGGCAGGGACGAAATCATGTACGATTCGAGAATTCACCCCGAACAGTACAGTAACACCCTGACTCCTGCCCAAATCAAACAACTTCACAAATCCATCCACTACGTTTGCTCTTTCGCTGTGGACAATCTGGCAGACTCTAGCAAATTTCCCGAGGAGTGGCTCTTCAAACATCGATGGGGTAAAGGAAAGAAAGACAGCTCGACAACCTTGCCCAACGGTTCGAAATTTGTCTTCCTAACAGTGGGAGGGAGGACCAGCTGCGTGGTCCCGAGCGTGCAGAAGAAGACGGGACCGGTGGCGGGAGACGTCAAGAATGAAGCGGACACAGAAGATGCGGATGGTGAAAAGAAAGCGAAACCGAAGGGCAGCAAGAAGGTTTTGAACCCCAAGGAAGTGGAGACAGACGAGATAGAGGTCGAGCCAGCGAAAAAAGGCTCAAAAGGAAAGAAGCGTACTCTCAAGGCAGAAGACGAAGAGCCTACTGTAAATAGCCACGAGCCCAATGAGAAAGCGAGCAAGCCGGCGATCAAGAAGCGGAAATCGAATAACAAAGCCGACACCAATGGAGCTATGGAGCCGAAGAAGCCGAGCAAGGCAAAGGCTGATACAAATGGAAACCATGGTGAACCGGAACCCGAGAAGACTGAGCGACGGAGGTCTGGTAGGGTCAGCGGCAAGGTTGCCTGACTTTTAAAAACCGACAGTGGAGTGTATAGTTAATGGACGATGGTATAGAACGGTGCTGTGTACATTAGGGTGTAGTTGTCAGCTTGCAAGTGTGCCCGATTTGCACCATTATTCATTGGCAGTCTAGGTCGGTATGTCACCAAGACTGTACCTCTGTTTGACGAGTCGAAAACAAGGACACGATAAAGGGTATTTCGAAAGCTTTAGTCCTTCCGAATGCTTCTAAGAGTCCTCGTGCGTATTGCTTTCCTCAATAGCTTGTCGTTATCGTATCGGGTGTCAAGCTGCCTGTCTCGAAATTAGACGAAAAGTGTCAGTGGCAGCAGTATGAATTTTTTTGAGCAAAGAGTCCATAGCCAAAGGCTGATCTCCTGGGTGTTTTCTAATTCTCTTTTCAAAACATAATTCCACCATCCGTCCCATAAATGAGTATGGAGTTGGCTCGCACGGTGTGCTCGATAGTCGGGTATGCCTTCATATCTAGGTGCGAGAGTACAACGGCGGCAGGGATTAATGTTTCTGCAGACCCTTTCCAAGCGAGACTAAGGATATCGACATCTGGGACGTTCTTGATTCGTTTGAGGAAAGCTGCTCAATAGTTCAGTACCCCTAATGCTTCCTAAATATGGCATTACCAACAGATGACATGTTTTAGCGCCGGCTAGATGACCTCAATGATGGCCACAAAACTCCATATTGGGCTGCCTCTTTCGCGGATATACTTCCCGTTGAGGAACATGGTCTTATGCGAAGTATCCATCGTGCCTTGCGGTATCGATCCTGTCCTGACCGAATTGTATGCTTTGTACAAGGCGAACACTGACCTGATGCACCTCAGGAAGGTCAGAAGGTTTAACAACTATTATCCGTTGCCGGGCATATTCAAAGAGCATATCAAGCTGATTGGAGTCCTTCGCCGCACGGACGGTCGATATTGTGAGTGCTTGTGCTTTGCTGACCGTACACTTGAGCCAGCACTGACCAGTGATGCTATGGTGCTCCAAGCCATCAGGTACGCAAACGAAAGAAATCAGACGGTAAATCATATTTTACTCGACTGGCCGCCAGACTTTACGCCACACTTCCATGTGTATGTGACACAAGGAGGTCGAGAGATTGCCAGTTTTCCTGATTGTGCAAGAGATGATATTACATCAGCAGACAGACGGAGTGGAGGCAGTACTGCTCAAGAAAGAACGTCAGAACATACTTCCTGCGAGGCGGCACCAAACTCTGATAGCAGCTGCGGTGTCATGTAGACCGTCTCAAACCACGAGGGCATTGGGTTTAGACTCAGGGTCTGTGTTTTGTTTGATATGGTTTACAGGCAGCCGCAAATCGTCAAACAACGGGGTCTATCCCTGAGATAGTTGCTGAATCAAAGTTTGCTCCGCTAGGGGCGCAAATACATCATGGGCTGACCCTCCAATATAATCGCCCACCATCCTACACTTTGAGACAAGGCGGGTCTTGAGAGACCGGATTTGATGCTGGAAGATAGTCTTAGTTCAAGGGAGCAGAACAGCAAGTACCAGGAGCGTGAAGCCTAATAGATACGTCACAACGGTTTCCTTCCTCTTCTGCAGCTAATCTAGCCTACATCAATCCTTGGAACTCTCCCATCATCTCGATGACGCCGCTTAGCTTTGAGGAAGTCGTTCTCGTGGTGTGTAAAGATGATCGTATTGCTTGCTACGAGATTGCTATGTATCTGGCCAAGCTAGCTATGTGTGGCCTGGCAAAACGCCACTTCGGCTATTGCCTCTTCCACAAGCGCCCCCTTTTGATATGCGAGCTACCATGTGAGATTGACAAAGGCTGATGAAGTAGGACCGTCTGCCATATGAGCGACCCCTCCTCCTCCAAACAAAAGGAAAACCAGCATGATGTCATAAAGTCGTTAGAATTGTAGCAAAGAACCAAGCCTTGAGCCAAAGAATCAAGCTCTGAGCCTAGCATCACCGAACTTGCCTGAAATGGAAACCAAAGAACTAGCAATTCCATAGCTTACCCACAAACCCCGAATCCTTCTCCGCCATCTGCTTCACTACTATACGAAGCCCTCCATTGATCCACGACTTCGCCCCATCAATATCTGGACTCCTTTGAAACTTTTCCGCAACCGCCTCCTAGTTCAAAGCGCTCGCGTGACTTCCAGACTGTCTTTGATCGAGTCTAACGTATTCGTTGCCGTAGTTCAGCTAATCCTCCAGCATCTTGATGATGGCGGAGATGAAGGACTCAAAAAGCTAGCGCTTTCCAATGAGGTGTTTTTGACGTTTACAGTGCCGAACATAGACAAGACGAGCTGGTGCGTGGCCATCGCAAGGTCGCCAGAGTCCACAGTGTCGTTTCATGGAAAGCGCGCAGGGGGCCATCCTTCTCCGAGATGTTTCTCGTCAAATGATTGTACCCTACGGCTAAGGGAACGACTCATTTGAAAGCTTCATGCATGGTGTCTGGGCGACTTGCGAAGCTCGGCACCGTCTCGAAGAAGGCCATTAGAGGTATGTCAGATCAACGTCAAATGCGCATCGATTGCTACATCATTGACCCATTGACCTTGAGATGGCGATGACACAACATGAGCCGTGATTTCCGCACGGTTGTTGGCAAGACAAGACTTCGATCGGAACGATACCAATGTGATTGTCGTAGCGCTTGATGATCTTAATATCATCAGGATCGATGACCTCGATGCGTTTCATGACCTCACTGGCCGCCGTCTTATTCGCTTTCTTGCCCTTCCCATCATCCTCGTTACTTTGGCTGTGTCGACGCGGCATCGTCACCGCTTCCCAGGGATCCGATTGGATTGATCGTTCCTCGGTTGATTGCATCTCGGTGGACTCTGGTGTGTTCAGAAGAAACAGAGAAGTTGTCTTCTGCAGCAATCCTGATATGACTCTGTCTTTTACCCTGAAAGTCGAGAGGATGGCGTAAAGGTCCAGGGTTCTCATGTGCAAGTCTGATCAAGAATGGTTCCACTACCGACAGCCCAGTTTGTTTGGATTTGGACATGATGTAATGTGTGCAGAATGTAAGGATCGATGAGACCTACGCGGTTTGTACTCAACAGTAGACTGTAAGCTAGTGAACGATACGTGGATAGCAGTCAAGGATCCTGAAGAAAGATCTAGGCTGCTCAGGGGGCTGCACGGCTTGTGGCCACTGTAAGCGGATTCTCAGGAGTGTGAGCTGTGAACTAAAAGTAAGCCGAGATGTCTTGCCTGCCTTTCTCAAAGGTTCGAAACAAGAACGAGGCCTGAATGATGACCTCGAATCTCACCCTGAACGCCTGAGATCTGCATTCAAGACAAATCTTTTCATCAAAGCATGCAATCGAAAACTATCAACGGAAGCAAAGCGCGCTGCATATATATATGTAGATGCATGTGAAAAAAAACAGGAGGACAGATGGATGGTGGACTTGACACATGAAAGAGAGAGAGAGAGCGAATGGACGGATGGTGAGGATGAGATAGTCGAGAATGTCGAAACGAAGAGAATACCAAGTCTGAACCGCAGATGAGAACACCAACCACAGTGAAAGGTGCAGCGAACGCTGGATCTCAGCATGGTAACAGATGATTGGCGTTGGTAGAGAGCAGAAGTGAAAGTGGGTAATCCTGCAGCTGGAAGGGGATAGAAAATGCTATCAAGCTCGAATCGACCCAAAGACACTAGCGCAACCCCTTGATATCTTAAGTAATATCAGCAGGTCAAGCCTAATTCTTCAAAAAATTACGGTTTCGAACCCAAATGCCTGCCCAGACTGACATGAAGACTTGAAAATACCTTGTGTCGGAGTTGGGCTAAACACTGACGTTGAACAAGTTTTGACTGAGCCTTGGCTCCAAAGCATGTCAAACGGAAGAAAGACTAGAGATGGTAACCGTAAGATTCTGGCGCTGACGCTTTAGCTCGTGGATACCGGTTGTCAAGTTGACCAAGTCAGCTTGAGTGTTTTGAGAAGCTTGCTCTAAAAGTTACTTGTGGAGACACAGTCGTTGTTTCTCAACCGATCAGTGCTTCTGTTTCGTCTACTTAGCATACGTTAGAGTGGTTAGACAGCAAGAGAGAACAGGAAATCAACTGACCTCCTAGCTTCACGGAATACTTAGCCAGCACACTCCCCGTAGACTTTTCACCTCCGACCTCACCACTAGTAAACCGAGGAAGACATGAACAAATTCATAGATCCCTTTATGTCTGGCTCTGCGACAGACCACCACAATCAATCTGGGCATTTTGGAAAGCTCCGATGAAGTACAATTACTAAACGTCCCAAACTCAATATGTATCTGCCGTGGGATGAAATTCTTGTGAGCACGAAAGGTGTTCAGAGAAAACGATACTTCCTTTCTTACCCTGTGAATTCAATGCTGAACTCAGTGAGCTTGGCTGAATAGTCAGTGACTTGTTCGAGACCGAAGAGATCATTCTGCATTTCATCACTCAACTTGCTCGACCCAGTAAGGAAGAACTAAATTAAGCCGAGGAGTTGCCTGGTTTGACCCCTTCTCATGGCCGATTGAGCGCATGGCGATACGTCGCTGCCGCGACTGGAGACGATCACCTTTCGAGTCTTGCAATAGGTCATGCAAATGCCGATTCAACGGTGGCAGCGAAGACGGTGGCTGCGGCGGTGAAATACTTAGAGTGCACGACAGCATGATGAGGTCAACGGGATGTGTTTGGTAGCTGTAGCATTTGGAAGCATCGATGAGCAAGTAGACAAAGGGAAGCCTCGCACCAATCCGATGGAGCCCAGCGGTTCAGACTCAATGGTATTGTATGAATCAGTTAGTGACCTTAGCGTAAGACCGCACGGATCAAAAGCTTAAGCGAGCATTCCTAGCCGTACACAGGTCTAAGTCAACAGTACAGAATGCATTCCGAGAAAAAGACACTCAGTAGGAGCCGTAGCCAAATGAGTGGTGATACATTGAGGAGAAATCCACAGATCCTCAGCATAAAAACCTTGACCAAGTCGAGTTAGCTGCTACATGATGGCAGAGACCGTGCTCTCCTTCGTTTGATATTGATTGACACCAATGTTCCGATTCGTGTTAGACATCTACGGACACTTATCTCTTTCTACACCTTGCTCCGTTTTGCGTCTCAAAAAGACGCCCATTTTGGTACCTAATCTTTCAGAGGCATGTCTTTCTGCTCATGGACTGGGCTCTTCAATTTCCCCGTCTCAAGAGCACTTCTAACATTGTCAACAACAAAGTGTTCCATCTTTTCTTGCGTTTCATACTTCGATTACGTCAGCATATTATATGTGATTCCAGGGGTGACACTCACGGTCCATGTGCCCATGTGAGGTAGTAGCAGTACATGTGGATTGTCCACCAGTCCTTGATGTATCTTTGGCTCTTCCTCGTAAACGTCCAAGCCAGCGGAGAACACTTTGCCATCACTAAGAGCCTTGACAAGAGCGGCCTCGTCAATGACAGCACCGCGAGCAGTGTTGACCATCACAACGCCATCTTTCATCTTTGAAAACTGCGGCGTTGATATCATGTGATGGGTTGATTTCTGGAGTGGTGTTAGTCAAGAGAGGAGGACGGATAGTTTCAGGGCAGGTGTGGCCGAACACAGGCAGAAGGACAAATCTGTCTCAGCAAAAGCGGAAACTTACATTCAATGGCACATTCAAACTTATGACATCACTCTTCTCCAAAAGCTCCTCAAAGCCCACATACTTCGCCCCTCCGCTCATCTCATCGCTCAGCTTGCTCCTGTTGTGATATTGCACATTCATTCCCAGTGCTTCCGCCTTCTTCTTGAAATCTCTTCCTATTCCTCCCATACCTACAATACCTAATAATTTGCCCTCTGGATCATGCCCCAGAGGCGGTGGAGTCTTCCCGCGAAATTCGCCCTTACGCAGGTTTATGAGAGGGGAGGCGAACATTCGGAGAGCACCAAGCATGAGGAAGAGGGAAGTATCAGCAGTTGCTGCGTCGACGGCAGTCGGGACATTAGACACGTGAATCCCCGCTTTGGTGCAGTCGGGAATATTGCACTGGTCGTACCCCGCGCCTGGTGGAGGAAGAATGTATTAGCACAGGTGGAACTGGACGACCCTCTTTGATAAACACCAACCTCTCACCCACCATTGTGCGCCAAGAATCTTAAGCCCGCCTTTCCCAACTCTTCGCATACCTCACCCTCAATTCTTCCTGTGATCTTGACGCTATTGAATGTCCTGTAGGCCGCTCTCACGCCATTGAAAGCGCCGCTGCGGCATTCTTTTAGGAAGTCTGAAGGATTGTCGGAGTTCGGTGTGACGAGTTGTGCGATTGAGGAAAGGGAATCAAAGGATTCTTTGGCGGATGGACTGAAGATTTTCACGGTCAATGCAGGTCTCTAGAGGGCTACAGAATAAACGGGACATGGTAGAGGATTGGTGAGGTATGGGACCCTACTGTTCAATATCTCCAAGCAATAGGACCTTGGGCTTCGACATAATGCAGGACGTTGTCTCAAATGACGGGTAAGGAGATATCTCTGTACAAGAGAAAGGGCAAGGAAGGGGAAGGATAGATGAGACTGTCGTACGAGGTATTTATCGCGGAGGCATATCCGCCCGGCTTTACTTTAATAAATCGGTGATAAGGGGACTTCTTTACCGCTTACGGAGGTCGGTAGAGTACCAAGAAGTCCTGCAGAGCGCTAGTACCAACCCTAACCCTGATCTCGGAAGGCAACCCTGTAACGGGTGACCCTAGGCCTATATCCGGGGCGCATAAATTGAATTCTAGGGCCCTTGTTGGGCGCGATACCGGGCCCTTAGCCTCCTAAATGGGCGAAGGCCAGGTGCAATCCCGAAAGAGTTCCAAGAGCCTTGGCTAGGCAACCTCCGTAGAGATGTGACTCATGTCTGTAGGTAGTCGTGGTATATCCCAGAGGGTACAAGCCGTTGCGAGTGTAGGGACTGAATCTAGTCCAGTCAGTGGCATTTCGAGCACCATCGGTTACATAGGCAACCAGAATGCGAGCTAATATGCAACTCCGAAAGGGCAGCGGCAGGATAGGGTTCGCCGCAGTTTGGATGCTGGCAAATGTATCTTGATTGATCTGAGGTATCCGGACAAGTAGGTCGTCTAATTTATGCCAACATGCTCAAATTTAGCTTTTTTTTTACCAACTCACCTTACGCAGGCTGCAGCAGGGTACTGCGAGCGCTGCGGGCTTTCAAGGGCGCCGAAATTGGCCACTGGATGTTGTATGATGGGAGAAGAGGCTTGAGGCGCTCGAGTGGCGTGCTGCAGAGGTATTGTTAGCATTTGAAAGGAGCGGCAAGTAAGCATGGTCGTAGAAGCAAATTCGACGAGGCTGCAGGATAATAGCTGCAAAAAGGCGGGCGAAAAGTGTATGATATTCAGCGGGGAGTAGAGGTGACCTTATGCTTTCTGTGTGTGAAGAGCAAAGAGCGCCTGCGCCTGCCATAGCGCCGTCAAGGGAAACGAGCTTCTGTGAAAATGCCTTGATTATCATGAAGAGTTCTTCCTTCACGCTGCTAAAGATGCATGATGGTATCGCTGTATTGTACATGCTTGAGCTTTACACCCGTAAGCCAGTCGTGTAAATCCTTTCTAAAGAACGATGACAACATGCTGTGACCGTAGTCGCCTCTCAATAAGATCAGTATGCATGTGCGGTTCCCTCCGTAGTCACTTCCCCGGACTTTGATGCCAGCAAGACTCCACCATCATGAAAGGCCTGATTCTCTTCGATCCCCATAATGCAACCGAGATTTCTTGCTTCTTCTGCCGTTTCATGTATGACCCTCCTAGCGCCTGATACTCGAGCTTCTGTGAGCCATGCCGCAGAGTCTTTGGACGACCTGATTAGTCCCCTTCCCGTTCGACTCATCCTCGATGAACTTCTTCGCCACGAACACCTTTGTCCTCGCACTGTCCTCGTCGTTGTTTGCAGGCTGCTGCAAGTTTTCCGGAAATTCTGATATGCGTGCTCCGACATGTCGAGCAACCATCACTGAATAGATGACGTCTCTGTTCTCCCGGCTGTCCAGGAGGCCGCGGCAGCTTGTGAGCGTGTCGTCGATTTGTTTGGCAGCGCTAGCCTCGTCGTCTTGAATGGTGAGGAATGTGTGGACGAGGCGCCAGAAGTCGCGCTCGCGGGTTTTCAGTTGGTCGTTTAGAGCTGTGCCATTGCTCTCTTCAGACGCCTGTGAAGGTGCTGAGGAGGAATCAAGATATTCCCCAGTCACTAAGTTTTCGAAAATTTCCATTCTCTTAGCGGCATCACGAACCCCTTCTTTGCTATCTTGCTCATCGACTGGTGATTTACCCGCAACTTGCCGGCACATTCCTATCATTGCCCAGACCACTGTGGCCTCGAGGCTCTGTGTGACTCCCCAATTTTGATAGTAGCTAGGGTGCGTCCGATCTATAGCGTATCGTTGAATGAGTGTTTGGAATTGGTCGCACAGCCGACTGTTTTGCATAAGATGTGTCATGCCCCTCAGTCCAAACCACTTGGTTTCCAGGAACTTGTCTATGCCGGGTGCGTACACGGTAATCCATATGTGTTTGATCTCTTCACGTGTAGCAGCCGAAATCGTAGTTGGTGGTGCAGGCGGAGGAGGGGATACCCCCCTTATACAGAGGAGCTCTTCGATCTTTGTTCGCTTCGCTAGAACGGTGTGTTAGTTAAGATGATATTGCCAACGCGAGATGCATGAGGCCCAGACTTGACTTGATGAGACTTACCTCGATGGCCTTGCTGATCCGACGCAGCTGATGGATACGGAGTCCCCGTCCCTAATGGCTCCTTGCTGTCTTGCATTTGTGCTGCTCCCCCTTCAAGTGTTGGGTCTATAGCAGCACCGTAGTCGTAAGGTTGGACGGTAGAAGTTTCTGAATCTGTCCCTGCTGGACCGTAGCCTTGAGAGCCAGCGTGCACGTAGCCTTGAGGGGGTGGTGGGTATGGCGACGAATTTGCAGATTGTGTAGAGGACGCAGCACCAAGGGCAGGCTGGATAGCTGTTGGCCCTGGTTGTGATTTGAAGATCGGGTCGTAACCTAAACAGTCGCGTTTACTTTTCTGACAATTTCTGCAAGCTGGATGGGTTTCGTCACACTGTGTGTGATAGATCCTAAAGTCAGCGGAGTCCAAATATGCTGTGTCGTTGAGTGTGGATTTATGATTTCAACTCCTTCACAGATCGTGAATATAAAGAGTGAAGCAGCCCACGCTCGCTTGACACGGTCGCTACTACCCGATCGCCCCAAGGAACTCGGTAAATGTTAAACGAAGACAACTACATCTGCATCATGGGGAGGGGGATTTTGACTCGTCGTTGCCCTGAGTGCGCTGCGAATTTTACAAGTGCAATTTACATACCTTGATGCGGCGCTTGCGACAAGTCAGACACCCAGTCTTTGTCCTCCGCTTGATCTCCTTCTTGTGTCGCCCGCCGGACATTTGCCTGCCGTCTGGCGGTATGGGGTATCGAACAGGGGCGTTTGGGTCGGAGGTAGGGGGTGGATATTGACCTTGTCCGTAGTACTGGCCCATGTTTGGTGGCATTGCGGAGCCCATGGGAGAAGGTTGTCCGCCTTGTTGCGACTGCTGATGTTGTGGCTGAGATATGCCATCAATCGATCGAATGGGAGGCAAGCTGATATTAGGATGAGCCATGTTCGATCCAGAGGGAGAATTAGCTTGCCCTTGCCCTTCAGGTGGAGGATAATTGAATTGAGCAGCCATAGAGGGCGCTGAATAGCTGGGATATGAATTCGGTTGATAGGACTGCGCGGTATCACTCTGCTGTGACATGACCTGTGGCCAGGGTGTGTGGCCGAAGTGTGGGGGTTGCGTGGAAGTCCAGGTACTCGTAGGCGTACCCTCAAGGCGGACAGCTAGGGAGGAATTGTTCAAGTCCTCGAGGAATGGCATCCCGCGGCGGCCAAAGTGAAATTTAGCGGCGGCCACGTTCTTCATCTAAAATTCCGCAAAAATATCGTTGAGACCTCCTCACAATCTACGATCGCTTTGGTAAGTCACAATTACATTAATTATATAAAGCGGAGTTGGGCATTTTTCGATTAATTAAATAAGTCTATAACAAGAATCAAAAGCCCCAGGCGCGGAGGTGGCTCGATGTATGTCAGCCTCGGGAACGGCTAAAACATCTCACCTGTGAACCGGCTGTTCATAAAAATGGCATCAAAGCTGGGTAGCCCCTTGAAGTATCTTCCCCGTATAGAGGTATGTAATCATAAGTTCGCGCCGAATGCGATTTGACCTCGGACAAAGACGGACCCCAGTATATGGTTCATACTTCATGTTTACTGAATCGGTGAGCACGAGTTTAGCGTTTAGCATTAGAAGCGCAGAGCGCCGTCACGTCTATCGATACTGAAGAAGCACGTCTGAAGACGATTCTCCTTCGATCTCCTTCAAGTCTTCAACCTCGCTTCCTCCGAAAGGAAGAGAGGAATGGAGCTAGAAGAGACGAAGAACGTTCGAAGGAAGGGTACCTCTAAGCGACCGTTTCTCCCGCAAGCCTCAACCTAAACAGATGGGTTGTGTTGAATGACAGCTGATGATGCAGTACACATGTGCCCATGTCATCGATGTGGATCCAAAGGGTGTGTTGGTATGAATGAGTGCTCATTCTTCTTGCTGGAACTATGGATTTCTCCACGATGATCCATCTTCTCGAAAGGATTTCAAATGTTCGTCCACATCTAGTTCACTCTTCCAATATCAGCCAGAGCCTAGCTGTCCTCGATCTCCGAGCGAACCCTCGCGAATTCGCCCTAGGCCAGGTAGCAATGCAACCCAGTGTCAGTAGACGTTTTGGTTGCTCGGCTCGATTTTAAGTAAAGCTGATAGTGGTGTTGCTGTTATTATTGTTGGTGGTGGTGGTAGGAGGTCCATCTCACAGGCTCGTTTAGTTGCTGTCAGATCATGAAGCTGTTAAGACCCTCGTCCAGTCAAACTTCTCCCATCTCTTCCTAAATCCATCGACCCTCCTATCTCCGCCTCTGTTCCACCGGCCTTGCCTCTTCACAATGTCGGGAGCAACATCGAGCATACCACCTATGATCTCCCTAGCAAAAAGATCACCTTTTGGCCATCGATTAGCATCTTCCACAATGTGACCAATTCCACCATCGATTTCGAACCACACATGAAAGTACGGCATCTCCTTGGCTAGCGTCCGTCGGAAAGCCGTTTTACCCTGACCTTGCTTGGCCTTGAAAAGCGTGTCAATGATCTTCTTGTGTTGCGTCCACTCCTCGTCAGATGTAAGAATTGCCTCCTTGAAGAACGCTGGTGCGGTCTCCCCAAGGCTGTACGGTAGTGGCACGACTTCCATGCCAGCATGCTTCTTTCGCTGTGGTACTGCGGCATTTTCGTAGAAAATGACATCTCTGCCATGGTCATGATACATTCGAGTGAGACTCTTCATGAAATTCTGCCAAAGGATTAACTACTCGCTTACAACAAAGGAATTGGTTCATCGACGTACTCTGATCTCTTCCCATTCATCGTCATCGCACTCCAAGAGATTGCCTCGATGTTGCACCGGTATGATGCATGCTCCGCCCTCACTGATCTCGGGCTCTGTAGGAAGAGTGAGGTAGACTCTAGTGGCTAGAGATACAATTGGCGCAACTGGAGGCGTATTTGTATTTTCGTGATGGCAGAGAGGGCAATTGTCCAAAATGCGGTTCATCATCTGAAGATCGGATATTGCCGTATTCTTGAGATTGATCTCAGACCGTTGTACACGCTTCGCAAGCTTGTTGGCGTTCTCGTCCATGTAGTCCAAATCGTTCTGAGTGAGAGTCAGCGAACTCTCATTTGTTTGGAAAGGAATACGTACGTCAAATTTCGCATCCTTAGCTATCCTCTCTGCGAAACGTTGTCCATCTCCACCAGCCTGGTTGCGCAATCGCCGCTCTTGCCGGACCATATCTTCAATGCTCATGTCTTCATTCTCTTCTACTAGGCCCCTCTCCCGACCCCGTTTGTTGTCGATCCTATTGACCTCGCCTTCACGCGACCCAGTCAACATCCTGTTATGCATGGCCCCAAGGACAACTATGTCAGGTTGTTTGCTCTTGGCCAAAGCAGCCATAGAATTGTTGTACTCAGCTTCCAATATAGCAGCGTTGGATGAACCTCGGACTTTGGCTTTCAGCATCTGTGCCTTGAGTCTATTCAGCGCAGTCTGGTCCAATGGCACGGTCGTTGCAAGTGGCTTCTCTGTATCAATCTCACGAGAAAGTTCTTGCACATCCGGCTCATCATGCTCCGGCCCGGAACCCTTGTTTCGCAGACCTGTATCTAACTTTCGCTCCTCAAACAGCTCACCACTTGGCTTTTCCTTCCCCACATAGCCTTCACCGTAAGTGTCTCTCCTGTCGAGCTCTATCTGCTCTTCTCTAGCATCGTCAAACGTTCTTAAATCTCCATATTGTTTTTCCGCCATCTCGTCTACGGGTTTCCCAGTTTCTTCTGCCTGTTTGTAGACACGGTTCAGCTTGCTCATCCGCCAATGAGCTCCTGCATCACCAAAGACGTAGTCGACCTCGTGTTGTGCGGGCTTCTCAATAAAATCTTCCGAGATGTCTCTGCCATCAGCCAGATATTGTAGATGATGCTTGTTCAACTCGTTTTCATGGATTTTGAGCTCAAAGTCGGCCTTTGACGGTCTTGACGTGATTGGCTCAAATGGCTCCCTGACACCCTTTTGTGTGTAGTCAATATCTGAGGCAGAGGGTTGTTCCATCCAAGAATCTCTCTTTGTTTCACCGATGGAATCTGAGGTTGGGATGTGACCGTCATTCTTCGCTGGCCCCCAAGTAGCTGGGTCCTCTGTCTCACCTTCGCCTTGTGAGGCCCCACGGTTCGTACGCTCCCCCCTAAATCCTAGTGATATCTTGCGATTGCCATGCGCCCTGTTGTTGTCATCTCTGCTGGTGGAACGCTTCGCCCTCTTGTGCCTGCGATGATCTTCTCCATCGCCATGGTGCTTCCTATGATGCCTGTGATGTTTTCTGCTTCCCTCGTGTCCATGACTAGACTTGATCTTCTCTTCCTCGTTCTTGCCCTCGGCCAGTGACTTTTCAAAGTCTTCAAGAGTCATAGTCACATGGCTGTGATTCTTGGACAACATATTGAGATAATGAACCCTTAGAAGATCAAGAAATATGCACGCGGAATTAGCGTATGCAGGAAATGTTACGATTCTTGGCACTGAGAAAATCGCACACACATCTATTAACTCCCTCTGAATCTCTTCCAGAGTAATCAATACGCATTTAAGAATAATTATTCTAAACCAAGATACTTAGTTTTATCTGCCCTATAATTTAGCCCTCAATTTTTGGTCCTCGATTTTGGTAGCTGATAGGTATGTGTGCAATTTTCTCGATGCCAAGAATTGTAACATTTTCTGTATACGCTAAAACTATTTCCGCTGTCCCCGCAGGAGATGGAAATCAACACCTTGAATAGTACTCTCGTACAACAGTGGAATCTCACAAATACGCACCCCCTGCCAGCATCCGATTCTGTCTGCTCATGGTAATTGTTATGAGCCACAGACTGAAAAGACAAGTACACACATTTTCAACATGACGGCTAAACCGCCTGTGGTCATTGTTTGTGTCGGCATGGCTGGTGAGTCTACCTTCAATGTCTACCACGCACAAACCTAGCTGATCACGCACGGTTGCATAGGCTCAGGCAAGACAACGTTCATGCAAAGAATCAATTCGCATTTACACTCAAAGCGTGAACCGCCTTATGTTATCAACCTAGATCCTGCTGTTCGCAACGTCCCATTTGAGAGTAATATCGACATAAGGGACTCTCTCAACTACAAAGAGGTGATGCGGGAATACAATCTGGGTCCTAATGGAGGGATCGTCACATCGCTAAATATATTTGCAACGAAGATAGACCAAATCATCAATATACTAGAGAAACGCACAGCTCCGAATCCGGAAACTCCTAAGGCCAAGCCAATCAAGAACATCATCGTGGATACTCCAGGCCAGATTGAGGTCTTTATGTGGAGTGCTTCTGGAAGTATCCTTCTCGAATCGCTTGCGTCATCGTTTCCTACAGTCGTGGCATACATCATTGATACCCCCCGGACAAGCTCGACAAGCACATTCATGAGTAACATGCTTTATGCCTGCAGCATACTTTACAAAACGAAGTTACCAATGATTCTAGTGTTTAACAAGACGGATGTCAAGGACGCCGATTTTGCAAAAGAGTGGATGACGGACTTTGAAGCCTTCCAAGCAGCTCTAAAGCAAGAAGAGGACGGCGGAAGCTTTGGTGGGGTGGATGGTGGTGGAGGATTTGGAGGAGGCAGTGGTTATATGGGATCGCTACTGAACAGTATGAGTCTGATGCTTGAGGAATTTTATCGACATCTAAGTGTTGTGGGAGTCAGCTCCATGACGGGGAAAGGTATTGACGATTTCTTTACGGCAGTCGGAGAGAAGGCGGACGAATTCGAGAGGGACTACAAACCAGAGCTTGAGAAACGAAGAAAGGAGAGGCAAGAAGAAAAGGCAAGCAAGAGGGAGAAAGATCTTGGGAAGATGATGAAGGATATGAATGTTTCGGAGTCAAGGAATGCATCGGGTGGTCCAAACAAGGCCGGCGTTGCCCAAAGACATCATGTTGATACCCTAAGCGATCTGGAGGACAACTCAAATTCCGAGTCTGAGGCGCAAATGGTTGAGCCAGACGAGGATGAAGTGGACGAGGACGGAGCAGAAGATGAGGCCTACATGGATGACGGACTCACAAAGCGCTACAAGCAGGCAATGGCACCTACCACTCAGGCAGCTTCCTCAGGAGGAGATTCCTCTGAACAAAGTTTCGCCAAATATCTACGGACGACTCAGGTGGGATAAAGCGGGCACAGCGAGCAGCTTGATTCATATTCAGCATAGCGAGGAGTGATGATTACCACTGCTGTCTTCTGCACGGCGATCGGTTCTGTCTACAAATCTTCGATAGCCTTGATGATATTGGCAGCATACAGAAAGGCAGGTCTGTAGGATAAACCACCTGAACATCTCATGATAGATATGGAAGACCCAGTGAGATTCTCAGTAATTGGAAGCGACAGATATCAAAGATTGCAGACAAAAGAAAGTAATTAGGAGCATACCTTACGTAGTTGCATAAGAAGCTCGGGCGAGAAAGATGTGGGTTCCGGTCCGTAGTCATCGATTTCTTGGCCCGCACTTCAGAACTTTGCCTAGCCTTTTTTCCTCTCGAAAATCCTCAAGCCCGTCCACCTCACCTCCGCTCAGCACCTGTACTACCCCTTCAATCCTCTGTTACTGTTCTGCTAATTTCTACCGATCAAGGGTCTTGTGATCATTTCTACGGAAGTTCAGAAGAGACTCGTCTATCTGCTACAGCCGGGTCCAATTCGCGCCGTGAAGACTAACAAGTTGGAGGTGATCCGCACAGCGGTGCTTCCGGGTGACAAGCAAGTCTTACCTCGTGAATATCTTCCCACTTCCGGAGCCAGGTTGTCAAGTAAGTCTAAAGACTCAAGGACCTTCCAAGAAGCTCATCTTCTTTTGGGTCAAGCGATTGTGAACTAACAGTGGTAATAGTCCTCATACTCATTTTCACTTTCGCCTCTACTTAGACCATTCCCCTCAAAACAACACTGTTGGATCTGATTCAGACTACAACCCTAGATGTTGGCAGACTATTACCGGGCTTCAGCTTCTGTGAAACCATTACACCAATACCTCTGATTGGTGGTCGCAACTAAGGTTGTTCGCGTACTGTGGTTTGCTTCACAGCACTGAGATTCTTCCAAGGCCTCCTCCCTCGACGAGCCTACGAAACTACCGCGAGTCCTCTTGCTTCCTGTTCTAAAACTTGCTCAATATTGCCAAGGAATCTCCTACCAGTAATCATTGGGACCAAAAAGCTTGTGTCCAATAAAAGCCGCACCGAAGACATTTATTGCATTTTCAGAACCAAAAGTCAAGATTAAAGCGACTCATACAACGGTCACCTCTCTTCAACACTGTCAACCTCGCATTCAACAGCCCCACGGGACAAGCAGCAAACCAACTGAGTGATAAACGTTCTTCTGGCTGGTAGGGCCTGGTGGAGAAAGGTGTGGGAGGCGGTAGTACCACAACCTTTTTGAGATAGGTGGAGTTTGAAGGCTCGGTCAACACCATACGTGGGATTACCACTAACTTATCGGAAGCTGCCATACCGGCAGAAAATCAGACAACCGATCATCAGCAACGATCTTCAGTGGACAAGATGGCGGCGACAGCGCAGAAGTCCTCCGGAGATCTGGGGCAAACAACTCCCGCTTTGACATATGCTTTAGCTGCAAAGGGCAGGTCCCCATCAGTTCCTTCGCTGCTACCTAACGGCAAAGCTATCTCCGAGACTGCGGAGAATGGTTTGAAGAGATCTTCATCATCTGGTAGCAGAGATACAACCGCGAATCCCACCAAAGCTCCAACGAAGCGCACAACCAGCGAAACTCGGACGCCACAGGTGGAGGGCGTCACAGCAGGCGAAGAACAACAGCGGGTTCAGCACAGTGAAGTCAATGATGTAACCAAATCCGACAACGCTGCAGCAAAGCCCCACTCTGCTGCGCAGCCACAACCAATGGTCTCTACTCCATCATCACCAGAGTATGGCATTCCATCCGCATCAACTTTACCCAAAGAAGACGACGCGTTTTCAACTGTGAACGGCTCTTCAGAATCTACTTGGGACAAACAGTCTCAGACATCTCAAAATGGGAGCAAAGGTGGTGAAAAGGCAGATGCTGAAAAGGAACAAGCCACAAAAATTCCATGGGACGAAGAAGCTGCTGCACCTGTCTCGCTCAAGGAAGCGCCACCACCACCAGTGAACTTCTGGCAGCAACGTATTGCGGCTCAGAAGCCCAAGCAGTCGACTCCTCTTCAGCCACCAAAGCCGGCAATACCCAATCTCAGCCCTGGAAACGCTAACGGTCCGGCCAAGGGCACCGAAGCAACCACCGAGCAAAAGAAGCAGGACGGTAAGAAGAAGGGCAAGACAGGTGCAGGCCCACTGGATGAACGCCCGGCTCTAGGCGCCGCTAGGAATGGAAGTAAGTCGGCCGACGCAGCCGATAAGTCTTCTACCTTACCTGCGCCTCCACCGCCTCCACCTGGGGACGCAATGTCGTGGCCGGCGCCAGAGAGCGCCCTTAACGAGGGGAAAAAGAAGGCTCCGGACCGGGTAGAAAAAGACGACAAAGATACAACTCAAGCACCCAAGCCCCACAAGGAAAAATGGGTGCCAATGCCTTTGGTTCACACTGTGGTCTTCGACACTCCGTTTCCTACCGCACGGAGAGGAGGCAAGCTCTCTCGTGGCGGAAGAGAAGGCGGTACACGCGCGGGCAACGTCGCGAATGCCACCAATGGTGCAGAGAAGCCAATTCTCCCAGGAATCGGTACCTCCACCAGCCAAACATTACCAGCAAGTGGTCTGGATCGAGGTAGAGGTGCTTTGAACCCGACTTCGACTAACGCCAACCTTTCGAAGCCAAAGAGAGCTTCCAGCGCGGGACCTGCCACCCCAAGAGATCAGCGAAAATTGGGAGACGCAACACCTACAGAGAAGCGCAAGGAATTCGAGAACGGTTTTGCAAAAGCCGGTCAGAGCAATGGCAATAATGGCAATAATGTCAAGGAGACTCGAAGACCGTCTGTTCCTGCGGCGGCTAAAGACCCACAACCAGAATGGTCAACTCGCGTTGTCCCTATGGATGGAGCCACAACCTCAACCAGCTCAGCACCGAGCAACACAGATGAGGACAAGAAGAACCTCAGCCTGGCTTCGGAGACGCCTGCATCCCCTAAAGCAGGTGGGCCTGAGCGAAGAAGCGAGGGTTCCATTAGACCACCTGACCTTGCGAGAGACTTTCAAGGAAGTCTCCCAGTGCGAGAACGGGGCGAGGGACGTCCAGAGCGTGGTCGTGGAGGATACCGCGGCCGAGGTGGGTCCAATCACGCTTTCTTCACCTCTAATCTGCCAAATGGCCATGGATTCACCAATGGTCAACAAGGACAGTACCAACCACCACCAGCCACTCCAGCCAAATCGCACTCCAATCAAGAA